TGTATTCTAATTAACACAGCGACTTCACTGACCCCAATAGTGAAGACTTGTAATGGTGTAGCATGTGCACAGAATGGTCGTTGTCACTGGGGTGGGCTGGCTGATGAGTGATGGGGAGCACATTGACTATTACAATTAACAAAAAATAGACACTGGGTTGGGATTCTCTGTGCAGATTAAATTGTCAGATTGCAATATGGGCCTGGTGAATGTCGAAAAAAAAAGTGGGTCGATTGCCCTGTTATAAATTTCCATAATATACCGGTAGATCAACAGTATATTCAGACCAGATGCCAACGTGACATTAAATGTAATTGTAATAAAGTTAATATTATTATTAATTGTTCCATTTTCCGACGTTGGCGGGCGTTGTAAATACCACAATGTGTATGTGTCATTGCTGGAAGAATTGCGCTATATTAACACATTGGACATTTCGTGTTTGGTTTGCAGTGAAAAACCACATATCTTAAAATAATATTGACGTAATAATCATATTAATATAACGTAAAGGTGCCAATAATGCATACACGAAAAAATGCAGTAGGCGCCAAATGTAAATTATTTTCGTTTTTTCCTTCTTTATTATGACGAGGCGGACATGTTTCATGCATGATGATTGATGGCTTTGATTTGAACTCGCTACATTCTTCGATTGGGTACTTTGGTATAGCATCTCGAAAGGGACAAAACAAGATGATGAACTGAATACGTACATGTAAACTCGTGTTTCCAGTATTTCAGTGAAACATGTATCTGGGCATGTCTTGTTAAAGGGCGCCCTCCACAATAAATAACACCAATGAATAACAAACCAAACAGGCAAAATTTGTTCGAATCAAAATGAATTACACCCGGGGGGTACTCTAAGCATGGATGTACGTCCATGCTCTAAGTCAGATCTGGTACCCATGCTGAAGTATAGCTTTTCAAAAAAGCCTCTAAACACGTACTTATTTTTGTGAAATTATACCCCTTTTCAAGTTCAGAAACTGAATGACAAATACCCTATATACATACTAAAATCATACTGTTTCCAAGTTGAGGTAAAATGAATTCATTAGATTCCTTTTTTCACACTTGATATTCTAAGTTACCGAACGCATTTTCCGATGATTTTGTCACGATTTTTTCTTCCGTTTTTTGTTTGTTTATTGCAGGGTAAAATGTTAGGTGACAGCCCGAGAAATATTCCTTTTTTGTAGATACGTTGTATCTCCAAGATAAAATATTCGACTCTAAACACGGCACATGTGTATACGCGTCAAATACTAAATAGCACCCCTTTTACGCATTTTTTACTTCAGCTTGCTTACCATATTTTATTCAGGGACCACCCCCCCACACACACACACTGTATCACTATTTTGTCTCATTTGCATATTTTTGCAGTCAATACCAATATAATTGAGCAAACATGTAACTATGTAATGCAATATTGTACGTACCAAGCTAGTTGTGTGAGGTTTTTTAGTTCCTGATAAATCATAATGGGTCCATCAACTTACAATGTAATAAAATATAGAAAATAACTTGTTCTCGGTCATAATGCATCTTTTGACATTTTTAAAAGATGTCAAAAAACTGACTTATTTATGGTATAATGAACTAAACCTCAGACAACCTGAGATTAAACACACTGTAAAAAGATACATGAATGAAATTTAAACATTTTAAGTCCATTAATTGCAAAATATTCCAAGCTTGTATGCTCCGGTTGGTTGCATAAGATGAAAACAATATCGACCACCACCACCTCGTGACGTTGTGGTATATTAATGTAACAAAAGCACTTCGTCGTTAGAGGGCGCGACTTGGAAAACTGTAACCACGGTTACTAATTAGTAACCATGCTGTAACTGGTCACATATCCTGTTGTCTAATCATAGACCTTAGAAAAAGAGGTCTATTGTCTGACATACGCCATCAGAGAGCGAAGCCGACTATCACGCATTTTTTCTTGTTGGCGTCTAGGATAATTTTGATGGAAATAATAAACCCGGGTAGTTGTAGTGCTTTACTACCTCAACTGCTGTTCTCTTGTAAGTCCTCAAAACTCCTACGTTGGGGAACACTACATTTTTAGCTTTTATTTAAATTTACTGCCATGCCTCAATGATCGCAAAATTGCTAATATTTAACATGCACGTCGGGCACATCAGAACATCATCAGCATGCAATAAAATACCCATATTTGTGAAAAACTGAATTTTAAACGCGATTCATGGCAATATAAATCACCATATCATTCGCTATATATAATTAATTCACCCCATGGCACCACGCAATAATTCGAGATGTAAGAAGACGCCAAAGTATTTATATAAAAGTTCAACATTTTACATATAATCATGATTGTCACGAAAAAAGTTTGTTAACCACGAATTAGCAATACTGAAATTTCAAAAAAAGACAGTGACTAAAAAGCATGGTGACTCGGAACAAGAATATTGCATTGTGTGATCTGATATGAAAAGGGTGAATTGTTTTAGACAAGAACGAATGAAAATTTAGAGCAGATTTTTATGTCAAGGATGCCATAACTCACATTCACAACAACATGGATAGAACAGGAAAGCTGGTAAACGTGGCTCGAAGGACGTCATAGTGTCGGATATCGTTGCTGCCGAGATTGTATTATAAACTATAAAACACTTAGTAATACAATAATAATTTTACACAATAACGTAACAAGACGTGTTGTAACGCCACGTTGTAGAAAAACGCGAAAACATTATTTCCTGTACAAAGGCCCCGGATGACAACATGTCGGCTTTCCTTGTGACTATAATTAAATTCCATTCTGTTAAAAATGCGTCTCGATTCAACTATTACTGCAACAGTAAACATTGACAGACATGCGTGACCTTTCACCTTCAATGCGTGTCTTGCCACAGGTGTTGCACTGGTCGCGATTCAAATGTGTGACGTCATGTTCGACGGTAAATTATTTTCCCAGCAGATCACATAACGGTCGACTGTTTTTAGTTCAGTTGTGAGCGCACTTACGATTTGGAAAACTTGTCAAAAATTAAATATTGTACAATGGGTAAGTCATCTTGATATTCATGTTAGCAGTTTGACTGGATTGAAAGTGTTCAATGTGATGCGAAATTCTACAAATTATCGTGACAGTCAGCTTGGCCATACAAGAACGATATCACGTCAATCTGTTGCATAGTATGCTGTGATTGTGCTGAATCAAGAATATCTACGCTTTATACTTGCGTGAATGGGATTAACGGTCAAAACAATCGGTTTTGAACATCTGTACTCATCAGTCAATTCTTTCGATTTTTTTAAGCTCTATCGTGACGATTTTGCACAGTTAACGTGGTTGGTTCAGATTATGCACAGTATCAACGTAGTTATTAAATCAAATTACGCGTGCCTTCACTGATGTATAGTTACTAGTTTACGTTCTGCTTTTCGTATTCTAGTTGAGGATAAATCACTATGTACTAGTACTTAGTATATCAATGACCAATGCAGACTGCATTGCCTTTGTGTCACATTTTCACGGTTTTCCTATAATGTCTCACCCCATTACATTTGTTTTAAAGAGTCAAATTCGTCGCGAAGAGTTCTGTTCGATATGAGTCCCTTGCGACGTATGCAACGCGCTTTCTGGTAGACGTGGCGACCAATAATCATGTAAGACCTGCCCCTTATATTACTACGTCATGGTATTCAAAAAAACGTCATGTCCGTCACATGCATCGTGGTCATGATATTTGTTCGAATACAGATGGTACTCTATGCCAGCAAATCCGCATCATTATTCAAATGTTATGCGGTAACACCCGGACAAGTGTTATTTTTGACATGTGTTACAGAAAAACCAACCCATTGAACCACACTTGCATGACAATGGTATAAGCTTTAGGCAGAGTGACGGGGAAATAGTTAAAGTGGAAGCCTACTGACTCATAAATTGAGATGAGAAGTTGGACATAAATCGCATGATAATGTTCATAGGTTTATTATGTACAATCGTGGCGCTATATTTCCATAGCAACATGAAATAACACTACATTTTGGTGTGAGTATTTTTTAATGGCCTAATATTTTTTTCTTCTTCAAAAACAGCTGTTTTAGATCTGTTAAAAAATGTGCAATACTCGCGATACCAGTCTAAAATTTGAGATATGTCATATTGAATTTATCTACCAAACTGAAAGGAATCAATGGTGAGACTCATATATTGACAACTATTGGCCACAATTCACCAAAAAAACATCATTTTCTCAAGAAATAGAAACTACTAGTATCATGTTTTCCAAAAAAGAAAAACTCCAAGGTGCCTTATTTAAACGGGAAACCTCTAAACCCGCTTAGTTCGTGTTCCGCAGTTTCTTTGGAAGTAACCGTGGCACAATCACCCCAATATGAATGACAAATGTGTCATTTCTTAGTCGTGTTCTTGTTTATGTTACAAGCGTGACTGTGACCGTGGTATAGTAGCTACTTGAACACCCACACACTCCACCCCATGACGGTGTTCATCGCCCGGGGTGTTTATCTGCCGTACCAACCAATCATAGTTACAAGCTTAAATATACCCAGTAATATTTGAAAATGTTCTGAATATTACTTCAAAATTTAAATATTTACTTACGTCAAAAATACTGCCTAATAAATATACATTATAAATCCCACTTCCGGCATTGACTTATCCCGACCCCTCCCCCATAATGGGAGGCTAAATATGTTTCCATGGTCGTAATTAATTGCGTATAAATCGATGTAGGTACTTCAGGGTATATGATAAATATATTTTTTCGCAGCAAATTGTTATTTTATTCACTGTCTGTTCAAATTTAAAGTGAATATATTTCCTAAAAAAGCTTCGATTAAATCATGTTCGATGTAACAGGAGTTCAATAAAAAAAATATTGTAATTTTAAATCAAAACATTTATGAATATTTAGTGTTTTATTTGCATTCGAAAGCGAGGGGCGTGTGCAAAAAGAGTTGGCATTTCATCATAGACGAATCTGGTACTATTAAAGGATGGCTCCGAAACACTCGAACGGACAGACTACAAGTAACACGATGTTCGAAAGAAAGATGGCGCAGGTACGTCTGTCTCCTGTGGGGATTGCAGTTATTTTAGTGTTTTTACTCGCCGGCGTGCTTTATATTCACCGAAAAGTGAGTGCTAACAGATCAGTGGACAGTACAGATGCAAAATATGATAGTGCAGAAGGTACCGTGCCACAAAGTATAAATTTACGGGAGCTTTTGTCTACGGCGATCGTGGTAGCTCGGCGAGGTGGGGACATAGTCAAAGAAATTCGGTTGGCGAATACACTCGACGAGAAAAGTAAAGGTGAAACAAGGGAAGGAGCAAACAATCCAGTGACTGAAGGTGATATGAAATCACATATTGCTATGTATTATGGGCTAAAAAAAGCATTTCCGAATCTTAAGGTACGTATTTGTTGAATAATTTTGAACAATACTGTATTTATTGACACAACACTGACTTTGGAAAGTACAGCAGTAAGGTCACTAAAACTACAAGACAATAAAACATTCATACAAGTTGCAAGATTATAGTCAGTAGTACCAGTACCGTGTTGTAATTGCATGTTATGCGATCATACTAACTGCAATGTGCCGTAATTTATACTCGAGTTGTGGAAGTCGTGGCACTAAGTTAACTTTGTCATTTCTGTTTTTTTTCGAATATTGAACCGGTAAATTGTATTTTTATTTTCGCTCGTGTGGAAATTTATAGTAGCCATTGCTACTAGTATGTGTGGATTTTACAAGTAAACTATGAATGAAACTGTGTGTCAGCTGTTTTTGTTGGTGCCATCTGTGATGACGTTGTTTGGTGTACTGTCATTTTGAAATTAAAGTTCTTTAATTGTTATAACAGATTTATTTTCATCTATGATGAGTTTTATTCTACTTGTTGCTGAGTTTTCCTGTTATCTATTTTCCTGTAGTTGATATGTCTATATTGTTATGTTCGTATGTGACCGTGTTCACCCGTGTTCACTACCTAGTACATGTTTGCTCATTGCCACGTGGAAAGTACATATAATAGTAATACAAACTGATTTGACGTAGTGCGACTTAACATCTATTGTTAGCATACATAGTGAATTCATCAAAAATCTGTTGCCACGAATACTGTAATTAACAGCTGACACACAGCTCAGTTTAATGTGTGGGCCTGAATAAACTGTACATGTATTTATTCAAGGATGCAGATCTTCTCTGTGGAGAGTATTTATTGGATTCAAAATTAATTAAATTTTTTTCAGTTCTTCAATCGCAAGTAGCAGTGTTAACACTTACTTGTTCAATACACAAATGTTTATCAAAGATTTGGCTGAATGAATATATTCATAAAACTAGTTAGTTCAGTCACAGTTACTAGAAGAAGTTCTTCTAGTAAATGTGGTTCAGTGAAAAATGCTCGAAAATGCATGTTTTTTCTAGTTTCTTTGGTTCAGTTAGCAATGATAATAGTAAATTGTGCAATGAACTAATCCCTGTTTTAAAAACTGTTCAACATCACACTTTAAGAGTCAGTAAAACTGGCATGACACCAGTGTGGTGGCTTGAGAGAAGTTATGCTCTATTTGGGTTTATATGTTTGTAAAGTTAAATCATGATGGTTAAATCAACACATGCATCTCATCACCAGACTCATCTAAAAATCTCTTGAACTCTGCTAGTCAATTTGACCCATTGTCTATTGTCAACTGTAGTTAACCACATCACGATTGTTTTTGTCTGGACCTGAAGTATCCAAAATGCAGAAAATACACTGTATGGATAATATATATGATGTTTCTTTTCTGAAAATTATTTATCTGAATTTATAATCTGCATTCAACTGTATTTGTACTTTGTCTGTCTGAAAAGGGTTATTGTACATTGTGGGCCAGTCCAAAGTCAGTATTTGTAAAACTACAAAACTCAAAATTTGTGTTGGTGGTGGGTTAACAAATGATTAACAAAAATACTTTGTGTTATGTTAGTTTATGTATAAGATGGCATCTTTTGACTTAAACACAGTTAGCCCAGTCTATATAAAAAAAATAATTTAAATACATGTAATCTTCCTTGTTGTGTACAAATTTCTATTATGCCATTTTCTCCTGAATTACTTAACCTTTATCTTTTGATTTTGTAGTTTTATCATTCCTTGTCAGGTTGTATTTTTTATGTCTTAGTTTTAGTTTTTGAGGCCGTACTGCTCTGCCTTTCTGTGTCAGTGTTGTGTCAATGACAGTATTGCACTGTCATCTACCGGGTATATATTGATACCGGTATATTACTAAGCAGTCAGTGCATGGCATGTATATGTATGTGTAATGATTTAAACAGTTATCTTGCCATGCTTTTCACAAGTTGTCATTTCTCACCCTATGTATTTTTTAAATAGGTTATATTATTCTTAGTATTTTTACAATACTAAATAATATAAAACTATACAATGCCATGGAGGTGTGCTTACAATTGCCATGGAACATTTGGTTGGTACCTATCCAATCCAGTCTCTTTGTATTTGCAATGTTTATAGGTTATATCAGAAGAGCATGACAGTGGAGTTGACACCACTGGTGTTGAGACACCCAATAAAGAATTACCAGAAGTTTCTAATGCAATAGGAACTGATGACTATGTACCAATAGAAAAGATTGCAGTGTGGATTGATCCACTTGATGCCACCCAGGAATATACAGGTAAGGAAATTGATACAAGTGGTTGAAATCAAAAATAATACCGATACTTTGTGTTTATGATGCTCTCCCTCACAAGACTGAATAAAACTTCACATTATTTGTGGGTACACTGATAAACATCTGCTGCAGAGATAAATTTATTACGTGTAACAAAAAAGGAATTCACACAAAAGATGTCTAATACCATTACAAAAATTAAATATGATAGAATCTGGTACTATAAATCTGTAGGGCGTTCTGGCACCCCCCCCCCCCCAATTTAGTTTTTTTAGTCGGCACTCTATACTCCCCGCCCCCATCCCAAATTATATCATTCATATTCTTACTTATAAATTATTAACATTGTTCTCATTAGCAGTTACCAAATTGGCTGGCTTCTTTCTGGTTTTTAGTCCCCATTCAGGTGCAGTCCGAAAACTGGGGCTTATGAAATGATCTCTATGTGTCCGTGCGTCCAGACCTACATCTTAGACATGCTTGGAAAGATTACATTCAATTTCACACATACATCATACATGATATTATACATATGCACATCAATTTGTTTCACAACCTGATTCAAGATAGCTGAATGGCGCCTATTTTTTTTACTGAAATCATTGAAATTAAGCTTTTCTGGCATTCTGGAACTGAATCTCAGCCGTTTACAGATGAATTATTTCCAAACTTGCTACATGCATTAGACATTATTTGTCCTTGATGCACGTCATTTTGTTTTTCAGATCGAATTCAAAATGGCTATTTTGTTTTAAGGTAGCGAGAAGGTTTTGTGACGTTTTTAAATAAAACATTCTCTGTCTGTTGTCTCGTTCAGAACAGTAATTTAGGTTATATATATCAAAAGACTAAGTATAGAGGTGCAAGTTCGCACAAACTGGACAGACATTGTTTACATAATTATCACGTGACATTAAAAATGGCGAACCTTGTAAAAATGACTAAGTCCGCGATTGCGAGAGCACACTGCGGAATTTCCTGGTGAAATTTACGTCATGCATTGTCCGTAATCAAGTCCATTGAAATGCGTCTCAGATAATCAAAAGACCTATTATTCCGATTTCTATGCAGGTTTGTTTTTTTGTCCC